AAAGTAATGACTATCTAAATGCTGCTGCACTATTGTCTCTTTGGGAACATATTTCTTGTTTTCGTTTATTAAATTAAATATTTGAAAATCAACTGGCAGAGCCACCGTGGGGCTAATATCGATATTACTGATACCTATTTGTTGAGCCTGCTTGCCTACTGTCCAGCCAAAACTATTCATATATGTCTGCTCATATTCCCAGCAGCTCTCCAATATTTTTTTTACTGGATGACTGGTAAAATGACCTTTAATACCAGTCCAATATACCATTTTAAGCTGAATTTCACGAATGTCTAGTGGTGTTTCACCCATTTCTACCTGCAAAGCTGTCACAGGAGAGGATCTAAACGCTCCACAACATATTCTAAGTGCTTGGTTTTGAATTACCTCTATCCTAGTTAATAATGAGGTTGATGCTGAGCCATATACTATTCTACAATAATCAATTGCTGACCTAATTAATGCACTGTATACCCTTTTAAGAGAACGTCTTGTAGCTCCCCAATCTACTCCTGCCAAGCACCTCAGCACGTTGACTCCTTTCTTACATTTATCAACTAACTTCTGAATATGTGACCCAAATGTTAATTTGGAATCCATCCATACTCCCAGATACCTTATTGGTGATACTTGCTCTAATGTTTGTTTATATAACTTTAATTTAACTTGAGGAGTTTTCTTCTTCTTTGAAAAACATATTACCTGGGTTTTTTCAACTGAAAGACAAAAACACCATTGATTAGCCCAATTTTCAACAACATCTATAGCCTCCTGCATTTTTTGCCCTACATACTGCAGGTTCTTCCCTTTTTTCCACAAAGCTCCGTCATCCGCATATAGTGCTTTTCCTATTCCTAATTAAATTTCCCCAAAAATATCATTTATCATTATATTAAAAAGTATGGGCTACAAACACTTCTTTGAGGGGTTCCATTGTCTATTTGATAAATATCAGAGTATTCAGTACCTACTCTCACTTGTATTGTTCGTTCTTGCAAGAAATCCATAATCCAGTTATATAACCTCCCGTTGATGCCCACTCGATCTCCTTTTCTTTATCACTGATAACTTGTTTATTTCCACTTATTAAAACTGGTATACTGTTAAAATTATGTATCCCTCCCATTTTTCTGATCATTCCCCATACATCGCTGATATCTACATTTTCACCAATTCTATCACAATATTCTCTCCAATGATTTCTTTTAGCTACACGGATAACTTTCCTTACTGCTGCCTGTGCTCTCTTATATGCAATAAAGTCATCAAAAGAATATGACTTTTTAACTCTCCTTAATAACCTATTTCTTGTTTTAACTACTTTACTACACTCATCAGTCCACCATGGCACAATTTTCTTTTTCTGCCTTCCTATACTTTCACCTATTACATCTTAGAGAACTGTTTTAGGCCCTCCTACCATCTTAAGCAGGTGACATTTTGTATCTATCTGATTGGCCGACCAGATTTGTCAATCATCTTCAGTGAAGACGCTTCTTAATGTCCTTTTTTCTTAAAGTCAATTTCTATATATTTTATATCGTTTTAAAATGTATTATAACATTATTTCATCTTCTAAGTAAAAAAAAGAGGCCTTTGAAATAATTTATTTGTCGAGGAACCACCTAAATCACGTGACGACCGCAAGCGCGGGCATTTCGGAAGTGGCACGCGAGACAGACTGCAATACATCAAACGGGTTCTTCTGAACTTCTGTTTTTCAAGGTAGGGATATTTATGATACATTGCTTTGTGAAATATATGTCAAATTCAGTTTTTTTTATAAAGCAATGGTGGCTTATGTATTGTCGTTTGTACTTAGCTAACCAGTAAAGCAAGCTAATATAGCTAAATGTAAACGTTTAACAAGTAACGTTAACGTTAGCTCGTTTTTAACGGCTCTTGAAATTCAAAATACATTGTTGTTCATCTGTCGTACTGACGGTAAAGTTAAGGCCACTTTGACTTTAGCTGTCTTTGAGGTATTGGTCATGACTTGAGTCTGTCTGAAACTTCTGACTGCTGATCGGTTTCACACAGTCCATTTTTTCTTTCTTGAAAACAATTATGTTTTGAATATCTCAGTATTTACGAGATTTTGTTATCAGTTAGTACGTTGTTCACAGATGTTTTGTGATGACTGCTTTTTCCAAACCTGTTTGCTGTCTTTCACGGATCATATGAGGCTAAATAACCACAACGAAGTAGTAGCTGTTTATCTGTCAATCAGTCACTTCAAACTGTAGCAGACGAATGTGGGTTTACTTGGCTATACTGTGTCAAAATTGTACCCTACTGAAGGTATCTAGCTAAGAACATACACAAGTAAAAGTAAAAATAAGTGTACCTTTTTCTTAGCTTTTTAAATTGACTGATGAAACTTAGATGAACAAACAGACCAAAGCAACCTGTTTATTTGTAACCTATAATAATCTGTTAAACGTTACCTGAAATAGTTCAACTTTGAATTCAGCCACAGCTAATTATAGTTCTTTGGTCTTTGAATATAGCTTATACAGGCCATTACAGGTGTTGTGAGACCATACAAATACCCAATTTCAATAGTACATGTTTGGTTTTGAGTGTAAAAAATGTTTAAATTCTAAAAATAAAAACTATGTTTATGTAAAATTATTTATTATTAGCCTTAGAAACAATGGAAATCCTCATTTGGATAGGTAGCTAAATGAATGTGAGTGTGTATGTTCAGTTATGGGTCAGTCTGTAAGATTATATTTTGAGTGGTTTCTGAAGGATGTGACAAACTTTTGAATGGTAGTGTGTAGGGCTGGGCGATATAGCTAAAAAATGTATCAACGTTATAATGTTTCATATCGTTCGGTATCGATAATTATTGAAATTTTTATAACCTTTTTTTAAAACAAAAAGCAATAATATTTTTCATTTAACCACTGTATTTATAATTAACACAATTTATTGAGACAAACAACACATTTTTTTAGTTTTAACAATCAAGCACAATAAAAATTAAACGCATCTCATTTGTAATGTTTTATATGCAGATTAAATAGGTCTTTATTGTATAGGTCTAAAGGCTGATTTATACTTCTGCATCGGACCTACACCGTAGCCTACGCATAGACGCACACCCTACGCCGTAGCCTGACGTGCACCTCTCCAAAAATCGAACAGCGCGTCAATTCTACGCAGACCGCAAGCGCTGTGATTGGTCTGCAAGAACCCCTCCCTCCATATGTACTTGAGTTTTGTGTGTGTTTATGTGCACTTTAATATATTTTAATGTTACACCTCCTTATATAAAATAAAATAAAACAAAGCAAAGGATAAGTCTACATAGCATTATACATCAGTAATTGTCCGCAACAAACAATGTTGATCTGCCATGGTAGAAAAAAGTCCTTGTGGAGATTGAAAGAATGCCATCTTCTCCTGTTCCGTTGTTGTCTCCTTTTTGTAGTTTTAAATAGGGCTGGATGATATGGCCAAAATTTATATCACGATATATTTCTTAATTTCGGTCGATACGATATAATTCCGGTATCGTTATGAACACTATTAAAAAAGCCTCATAAAAACGTCCAAGAACGGCCAATATAATTTATTCCTGTGATTTCAAAGCAGAGCTTTAGCATCATTACTCCAGTCACATGATCCTTCAGAAATCATTCTAATATTCTGATTTGTTGCTCAAAAATCATTTATTATGTTGAAAACAGCGGAGTAGATTTTTTTCAGGTTTCTTTGATGAATAGAAAGTTCAGAAGAACAGCATTTATCTGAAATAGAAATCTTTTGTAACATTATAAATGTCTTTATCATCACTTTTGATCGATTTAAAACATCCTTGCTAAATAAAAGTATTAATTTCTATAATATACATTTTAAAAAGAGCTTTTGAATGGTATAGTGTATAATGTTACAAAAGCTTTTTATTTCAGATCAATGCTGATCTTTGGATTTTTCTATTCATCAAAGAATCCTGAAAAAATGTACTCAACTGTTTTAAATATTGATAATCAGCAAATCAGCATATTAAAATGATTGCTGAAGGATCATGTGACACTGAAGACTGGAGTAGGCCTAATGATGCTGAAAATTTAGCTTTGATCACATGAATAAATTACATTTTAAAATATATTCAAATAGAAAGCAGTTATTTTAAATAGTAAAAATATTTCAAAATGTTACTGCTTTTGGTGCATTTTGGATCAAATAAATGCAGGCTTGGTGAGCAGAAGATAATTATTTAAGAAACATTAAAAATCTTGCAGTTCAAAAACCTCTGACTGGTAGTGTAGGCTGATTATTCTTATAGATTGAAACGTGCATTAACCAGGATTACGAGTATGAAACATGCTCCGAGTTGCTTCAGAAAACAAAAAAATAGAGCAACAACAAAATCATGTTGCTGGAAATGGGTTTATTATTGAAAATGCAAACTGCTTGTCTGCCAGCAGGAGGCGCTGTGTGAGCGGTGGAACTAACGGTTTCTCCAGTAACGGCTGTAAACAAAGCAGCTCCACTCATGAACGCTACTTTATCAGATAAAAGTGCCATCTAAACTATTCTGAAGACAGTCGGTTCCCTTCAGAGATGCATTCATATAAAACACCCGCGACGCGTTTTGATTTTGAAACGTGCAGCGCTCATGTTTATCCAACGAAGTCAAACGCCACAAATAAATAAATGTATGGGAAACACTGGTAATGTATAGCCAAATATCGGAAATGTTTAAAAATCATATCACCGTTGTTGAGAAAAATTATATCATGATACATATTGATATTGAATTATTGTCCAGCCCTAGTTTTAAATAATGATTTAATGATTTGATATTTATTTGCCGCCATCATGGTTATAATGCTTCTCCGACGAGCTGCTTCTTCGGCTTTTGCCGTGGTACTGCGGGTTACACCAGCAACATGCCCGTGGACACTGCTGACTAGCGCTTTGCATGTGTACTGCACGTCGACGCAATGCAATGCGCACGTGTATTAGAAAACATTTAATGTTCTGCAGTTTATTTACTGATTGTTTAAGGCCATTTCGCGATTTCAGTCATCATACAGTAACCAGCAACAATCACCCCTTCCTCTTTTCATTGAAGACATGCGATGCAGTACTAAACAGTCTCTCGCTGTCGGTGCTTGTAATGATTTTTGCGTCTTTCTCTGACAGATTTAAATGCTTCCACACTGCTGACATGTGTGCTGCATTATAAAGAGCGCGCCTCTCTTAGCTGGTTGCTATTTGATCGCGCCATATCATTGTTCGGTACAATTTATTCGGTATTTTCGCTTATTTCGGTTGCCGAACATTCGGTGCATCCCTAAACAATAAATTTATTACAGTATTTATTAATCTTTCTTAATGTTAGTTAATGAGAATACAGTTATTCACTGTTAGTTCATGTTAATTCAGAGTGCATTAACTGTTAACAAGCACAACTGTTGATTTTAATAATGCATTAGTAAATGTTGACATTAACATGAACTAAGATTAGTAAATGCTGAAGAACTGTTGTTCTTTCTTAGTTAATTATCTAAAGTAGTTAACTAATGAACCTTATTGTAAAGTGTTACCAATATTAATAAATTCTGTCCATTTTTATTGTTACTTTCAGTAAAAGTGTGGTTATTTTATTGGCTTGTTTTTTTTAATTCAGTATCATTTAAATTGAGTTAAATTTAAAAAGTCTTAAATTACTTTATATTATTTAATAAAATAATAAATAATCATTACAAAGCAGTTTCGGTTTTTGGCCAAGTGCATCCAGAATTTTCGGTTTCTGTTTCGGCCCAGAATTTTCATTTCGGTGCATCCCTAGATGTAAGACTACAAGTTTTATTTAATTTAATTTAAATTTAACAGTAATTTACTTTCAAATGCCCCAATTGTTGAAGGGTCTGCACAACTTTTTAGTACAATTTTAAGTTGCATTGTTCAAAATATCTGTAGTAGCACAGCAGTGCATACCTGTATACATTTAATTAAGGTGGACTAGATTAGACTGTAATACAAATAGTTGAGTTTGCCAGGTGCATACAACATTTATGACAGGTTTTCATGAAACTGTTTGTCTGCTTGACAATCCCATTTTGCACTGCAACAATAAAACTGAAGTGAGATAAACTGAGAAATGTTTCTTTTTAGTTAAAACAGATGTTGTCAGTTTTCCTTAGGGGACATAATTTGAAGTTGGAAAACGGTAATAAATTGCAATATATTTAAAATCGCAATAATAATCTTTATTCACAATCTCCTCATCATAGGCAGGCACAGCACTCATTTCAGCATGTGTTCGTATTTGTGCGCTATATCGAACATTTTTTCTATCGATATCGAAGAAGGTGTGCCGTCGATAAATATCAATACCGTTTTATCGCCCAGGCCTAGTAGTGTGTGTGTTTCAATTTGCACACCGTACGGTTACATGCAACATTCACCTCAGTTGGGCCTTCTATTTGTAAATGCATAGAATAATTTGGGCTTGCTATAATGTCTTTTGACCATCTGCCTTAGGATAAGGGAATATCTCTGAAGTGAGAGCCAAGTTGACATAAGCAGCCATGCTGGATGGGGCTCAGTTTGTTGAGGCGTTGTCACGGTTGGGTTACCCACGGGCGTCTGTGCTGAAAGGTTCTGAGTTTGACTGGTTATTTGAAACGGCACCAGATAACCTACACCTTTTACGTGTTGTCTGCAACCGCCTGAACCGCAGCAATGTTCTAACACCAGAAGAATTGCTAGCATACAAGGCACTCCAGGAGTCTGGTAAGCCCATCTTGGATGAGGCGACACTGGGTGAGCTGCTTAAAACCTGTTTGCCTGTGGATGGAGGTGTAGTGTCACGGAGCAGTTCTGCACTGGGTGGAGAGGGAAATGTAACAATCAAGGATCTTGAGACAGAACTACAAGCTCTCCGCAAGGAGAAGCAGCTAAAACAACGCAGACTCAGTAAGCTGCAGATGCTAGCTACCAACTGGGGTGCAAACTCCTCGGCACCCCAAGCACTGCTGCAGGAAGGAGGGAATATAGTAAAAGATGCCAACTCTGCCTTGGCAGCCGAAAATGCATACACCAACTCAACTGTGGAGAACCTGTCAAAGGAGACGACCAAACTGGCTGGCTTTTTCCAAACTGACACTTATTCCATAAGGAGTGAAGATGGAGCTGCTCCACAATTAGTTCCTCAACCAAGGACCCCAGTGCTCCTCTCCCAGTTGTCTCTAGAGCCTTTCCTCCAGCAACAGGAGCAGTTCACCAAAGTGTTGACTTCCTACACTCAGCGTCAGTTCTTTCAGGGCATCTCAGACATGATGGAGACCTCCCCATCCAATCACTGCCAACTGACCAATCTGAGCTGTTGCAGTGAGAATGAGGAAGAGGATGAGGGACTAGTGGAGCTCAGGAAGAAGGAGATGGCACAACTGCAGTGGGCATATATAGTGGCCCAATACCAGCTGGTGAAAGAGAGGGCAAAGGAGCATGGCGACAAGGCAGCAAAAGAGTGGCTCATCCAGCGACTAAACAGCAGCACAGAGGTAAATATGAAAGAAAATGATAGTTTCCATGATTAATTTATAAATGCCTATACAGTGCCACTCAGAACATTTTAAAGGGGTCATATGATGCCCATTTTCCACAAGTTGATATGATTCTTTAGGGTCTTAATGAAAAGTCTGTAACATAGTTTGGTTAAAATTTCTCAATGGTAGTGTAAAAAACCTTTTTTTTTTTAACCTGATCAAGCTGTTTTTGTAGCATTTCCCTTTAAATGTTAATGAGCTCTGCTGACCCCGCCCCTCTCTTCCGAGCTGCTCTCAGAGAGACCGTTTACTTTAGCCGCATTCATCGTGAAACTTGCTAATTAGCACATTATTAGGAAAGGCGATTTGCAAAGATTCATTACAAAACATTATACTTACTACTTCTGTAGATGAGGCTGGATCATGAATGATTCGCGCGAACATAGATGCATTTAGGCAGATCGGGGGAGCATTCCCTTCAGAAACAAACGAAATCCACTGTGAGTTCAGCGGCTCAGATGTCAGGAGTAAATGACGACTGCTATGTTCATTATTACATCCAACAACAGAAACACCTCAATCTCTTAGGAGTCATTCTTGTCTACATCTGCTCCAGTGGTGAAACAATGGCGGACTGATCACAGCTCACTCAGGGTGGGTCTGAGGTAAGACACCAGTCCAGTCTGTGCTGAAACGCTACTGTCAATCAAACTATCGTGGGAGGGGCCTGTCTGTGTGACGTCACACAAGACAGGCATCTGAGATCATCTCGATTTGAGAAAGGGGAAAACATTTAACGAGATAAAAAAAAAAACACTGGGTGGATTTTTATCATTATAGGGTGGTTGTGTGCACGCACTGCCAACACACATTTCAGTTCAAACAACTTGTAAAAGTGCATGTAGCATCCTATGACCCCTTTAAGAGTAATATGTTATTATTGTTTATTTTTTATTAACATGCTGAATATTTATGACAAGTATGTAATTACATTCTGCCCTTTTTTTTTGAGACCAGATACTACCGTTCAAATGTTTGGGGTCAGTTTTTTTTAAAGAAATTGGTACTTTTTTCTTTCTTTTTTTATCAAGGATGCATTCAATTGATTTTAAATTAAAAAGACGCAAATTTCTATTTCAAATAATGCTTCTTTTTTTCTAATTCTTTTCAGCAAAAATATATTTTAAAATATATTAAACTTTTACAATATGTGAACCTGGACCACAAAACCAGTCATAATGGTACATTTTTCAAAATTAAGATTTATACATCATATGAAAGTTGAACAAATAAGCCTTCCATTGGTGTATGTTTTGTTAGGATAGGACAATATTTGGCCAAGATACAACTATTTGAAATTCTGGAATCTAAAAATCTAAATATTGAGAAAATTGCCTTTATTTGTCCAAATGAAGTTCTTAGCAATGCATATTACTAATCAAAACGGTTTTAATATATTTACAGTAGGAAATGTACAAAATATCTTCACGGAACATGATCTTTACTTAATATCCTAATGAATTTTGGCATAAAAGAAAACTCAATAATTTTGACCCATACACTGTATTTTTGGCTATTGCTACAAATATACCCCAGCGACTTAAGACTGGTTTTGTGGTCCAGGGTCACATATAATAATATTTCGTATTACTGTTCACCGTATTTTGATCAAATAAATGCAGCCTTGGTGAGCATAACAGACTTTTTATCTGACTTTTTTAGAATCTTGCCAACCCCAAAATTTTGAACAGTAGTGTACATTGATATTTAGTGATTTAGTAAAAGAATTTGTTCAATAATAAAACTATTTAAAAGCTTCTCAATCTCAGGTCATATTTCCAACCTAAGTCAGCGCAATTCTTGAGTCCCATTAAACTGTGCCTGAAATGTACTGTTACTTGTAAAACTGCTACTGGTATGGATAAAATATCTTTAATCTAGTTATTCATCAGCACTGTGCTGTTACTAGAAATTTGTAGATGTGTGAAACAGCATTTTAACCCGTTATCCTGCGAGGATAATATTTTTTGTGTGTGACAGTGTGTTCTGTAGCTATTTGTGCATGTATAAGATCTGCAGTTACAAAGCTCAAAGTCTCCCACAAAAGGATTTATTCTATCTAAAAGAGAAGGCTGATCCAGACCAGGCTAAATGCCTCATTCAAACACGCCCCCACATGTCTACGTCACGATGTGGAAATATTTGCCGCCCAAATGTTCATGCAAAGAAAGAAGGCGTGGCGTGCCACCCATGTCAAGGAGATGCTGTGTGTTTCTGTGCAAAAGCAAAAGCACTTTATTTGGCCTTCCGAAAGTATATGCAATGAGGAATCATTGGTTAAAGAGTTAGTTCACCCAAAAATGAAAATTGGCTTGTGTTTTACTCGCCCTTGAAGCATCCTAGGTGTATATGACTTTCTTCTTTCAGACGAATCCAGTCGGAGTTATATAAAAAATTGTCCTGGCTATTCCAAGCTCTATCATTGCAGTCAGCTGGTGTTGCAGTTGAACAGTCCACAAGTCGTCAAATAAAGCGTGCGCATTCATAATAAAACATGTTTCACATGGCACCGGGGGGTGAATAAAGGCCTTCTGTAGTGAATCCATGCGTTTTTGTAAGAAAAATATCCATATTTCAAATATAATAAACACTTTTCTATCACTTCCGCCATCTGTCATACGTGGAAGCTGTGCCGGTGGATGTCGTAACATCCGCTACAGATTGTTTGCTACTGGCGACCCAGGTCAGTGTAGTGTAGAGATATGCTGATGAGCTCAAACTTCACCCGAGTCCGCTGCTTCAAATTATGAAGCTCGCGTCCGGTGTAGAATAGAACCTATTATAATCAGTGATGTTGTCTACACTGGATGCAGTAAACTGATGCCTCGTTCTATTTAAGACGTGCTGACACAAAGTTCAAATGTGACCCTGGACCACAAAAAATAGGATCAATTTTTAAAAATTGAGTTTTATACACCATCTCAAAGCTGAATAAATAAGCTTTCCATTGATGTATGGTTTGTTAGGATGGGACAATATTTGGCCGAGATGCAACTATTTGAGAATCTGCAATCTGAGGGTGCAAAAAAATCTAAATATTGAGAAAATCGCCTTTTAAAGTTGTCCAAATGAAGTTCTTAGCAATGCGCATATTACTAATCAAAAATTAAGTTTTGATATATTTACAGTAGGAAATTTTACAAAATATCTTTATGGAACATGATCTTTACTTAATGTCCTAATGATTTTTGGCATTAAAAAAAAATCTATAATTTTGACCCATACAATGTATTCTTGGCTATTGCTACAAATATACCCCAGAGTTTATGAAAAAATATTTCTCATTATTATTATTTATTCATTTTAGATGTTTACATTTGAAAAAGCTGTGCTTCCTGCATAAACCTGCCCCTGTTGGTTTGGCAGTAGCTTGCTTGCCCTACACAGTTACCTTGTTTAATTTCTTAATTCAAGTTATATATATTTTTTTCTATTTGTGTTAAGTTATTTATAATAAGTAAAGTGAAGTTAACTGTTAAAGGGAAATTTCACCCAAAAATGAAAATTCTGTCATTAATTACTCACCCTCATGTCGTTTCAAACCCGTAAGACCTTCGTTCATCTTCGGAACACAAATTAAGATATTTTTGATGGAATCTGAGAGCTGTCTGACCCTGCATAGACAGCAACGCAACTGAAATGTTCCCAAGTCCAGAAACGTAGAAAGGAGATCTGTAAAATAATCCATGTGACATCAGTGGTTCAACCGCAATTATACGAAGCTACAAGAATGATTTTTGTGTGTAATCCTTTAAGTGCACTGATCTCAGACTCATTTTGAATAATAAAGTTTATTGTTAAATTGTTAAATACCCTGCCTCCACTACATAGGCCTATGTTTGTTGCATTATTATAAGTGTTTGATCACCACATTTGAGTTATCATTGCAAAAAATGTGTTTATGTATATTAGGGCTGTCAAAATGGCTGAAAAACTAAATTTGAATTTTTTACTTAAAAATGATCAATATTCAAATTATATTCGAATTTAAAAGGCATAATTTCAGGAAGGGGGAAAAAAGGCTTTTGGCTTCTCTCCTGAGGCCACAAGTGGGCGCATTGAGCAAAATATTATGCACGTTTCTTTAAAGCATAATAAAATAACACGACTATCTTTGAAAAAATATGTGAAATGCAATATCTTTGAAATAATGTTTATAAACCATATATAATTAATTAAATTAATTAAAACAGCATCATGCATGTATGTATAGTTTAATACAAAGAACTGAAAACCAATCAAAAAGAGTACTTTCTTCATTAAAAAAATTAAGATGCAGTGGGATGGGGAAAACCGCCATAAAGTCTTGAGACATGTTTTTTGTTGAACTTACTTGAACAATGTTTCAAGTTGAACTTACATTAATTTTACATGCGGCTCTCTTGTGCGAGACGCGAGTGCAATGGTGATAGATGTCCCTCTAGAAATTGCGATAAATATGTGTTCTGTGTGAACGACTTGGTTTCGGTTTTGACGTAAACAAATCTTCCCCACATTGATTATTCTCTTTTTCCGCAATATTTTGAATTAAAAAAAAATCTTGTTCCGGTTCCCAGACACACTACCGCTCGGCTCTCCACCAGCTGGGTAAACTCCTCCGCGATGCCTGGAACTCCTACCCTCAACAGGAGGAGCCATCGCCGCCCGCCAGGAGGCGGAGGAGCGGTGTGCCGTCCACCAAAGATGTCCAGTACCATCGCCTGGCACCGCGAGTGAGAGCCTCTCAGCCGGTTGGGGACCAAGCCAGTGTGTCCGGAAACCGGACCGAAAATTATTATTATTATTATTTTTTTTTTTTAATGTTCAAAGAAAACTTTAATAATAAAATAAACACAAAATAGCGCATCAGCCCCTCGCGGGTGGCTGTTGCGCACAAACAGAACCAAAACCCAAATTAAAATCCAGGCCTGGTCCTCTCATCTTTCACTGTCGTAGCTCCTCCTTTTATCCTTCCGGAGCTCCTCCATGGGACTGGAGACCGGTGAGTGGTGCAGGTGTCACTCATTATCAATTACTCCACCGACCTCGCTCCGTTCCCACGGCTCTCGGCCCCGACCCCACTCTCACACAATGACACTTACATCATCGTCGCATTTCGTGCGCCTCTGATAAGGCTGCCTGACGCACACCTAAAATGTGGATTTTTATTTTAAATTCGACGAATATCCGAAATTTTAATTTCTTTTTGACAGCCCTGATGTATATACTGTATATTCTGTTTATGTTGGCTATATACTGTATTCTATATACAGTACCAGTTAAAAGTTTGGACACACGAATGGGAAGTGGACTATACTGTACTATAATATAGCTTACACACAAAGAATATCGGCCGATATATCGGTATCTGTCTTTTTACTCCGTAATATCGGCATCGGCTCCCAAAAAACCCATATCGGTCGGGCTCTACTGCAAATACATACGAGCATCATCACTGTGTCTGTCACATGACTCTGTTCCCCTTTCGGGCTTGAACTGATGGTAAAACTAAGGACATTATTTACTTTTATTATTTACTAAAACTAAGGACATAGTCTTTACATTTGTGTTGAAAGCTGAAGCTCGTGATTATGGAAAGAGGCGTTACCTTTCAGATACGTGCTTGTGGTGTTCGGCCAGTTACAATGCACTGGGTCAGCTGGCCAATCAAAGCAGACTGTGCTTGTCGGAAGGAGAGGCTTTGTAGAAAACTATGCTTTTGAGAGAGGCGGGGCATAGAGGAACTACAATGTACAGTATTTGAAAAATAATGTGTTTTTTGAACATTAAAGCATGTCAACATATTCTGTTACACCAAATACACAAAATAATGATCTTAAAAATAGCATCATATGACCCCTTTAATGATACAAGTGAGGCAATATTTTCTGTCCCTTTAATTGAGTATACCTCTAAATGTGTCTCATTTTAATTCCCTTCCTCTCGTAGTCTCTGTGCTACTCACAGGCAAGCAGGCTTGAGCCTGATCTACACTCTGAGATCCTCTATATTCAGTCTGAAATTCAGTCCCTTATGTTAGACCCAGTCCGCTCCGTGTTACGAGACTGTGCCCGCCTCCTTAATATCCCTGTGGTGCGTGGTGACCTCGCTCTTCAGTTAGCCAGGCAAAATTACTACACCTCCAGGCAGACTGAAGTTCGTGACCAGCTTCTCCGTCAAAAGGCCTTCTTCGAACTTGTGCGTCTGGCCCAGGATGCAGAGCTCCTTATGGGGAAGAGGGTGATGAAGCAGCTTGATGAAATACTGAAGAGGCTGGAAGGGGCAGCAGAAGTTGCTGCTCAGAGAGAAAACATTCTGACACAGCCTCACTTGACTCAAGTCCCTTACCTTGGTTCTAATGCTAAACAACAGGTCATCACCTCCAAGGACACAGCCTTTAGCAGGTAACCCACCATGAGTGGGGAGAAGTTTTGTACTATGTAATGCAGTTTGGGTTTGTAAGACTATATCTTCATCTATATCTATATGTTCATCCCTCAGGTTGCTGCAGATGCTTGAGTTGGGTAAGGCCCCCACGGAGAAAGAGGATCCATTCCAAACCTACAGTAGGCTGGAAACAGCAACCTTTAAACTACAGGAGGATTTGGTCACTGTACAAGAGGCTTTGGATGGGGCCAGACGAGAGCAAGCCTATACTGGAGCTCGGTTAGAAAGTGACCGAGATGCACTCGACCAAGTGGCGTACTCGGACATTGTGCAGCCTCTTCTGAGGCCGCAGGTATGTGCTATAGCCACACCTGCACTGGAGTTCTGCCCTCATGCACAGGTATGTCTTCTGTTCTTTTTTTTCTCAACCTCACCGCCATTTTCAACATCATCCTTTGTGAATCCCAAGAAACGTGAGCAGATTAATCATCATATTCATGATTATAAAAAGCATGCATCTCTTAGTTGGCTGGTCGTAATTGTTTGGTGTGGGGTTTTGGTGTTTTTATGCACTTTTATTTTTATTTGCTGTTTTAAGATTATATGGGCCAGATTTACTCAAATTAGCGTGAGACTGCAAGCCCTTAAAAGCGCAGATGGGAGTGAAAATTTTTCAGGTGGTCTACTGAAAATGTTCAAATGAAAGAATACAAACACAGACCTCCGTGAAGTTGGCCCCCCAACCCAACGCAAAATGTCGGCAAAATAGTCTCAATCGTTTGTGCTCCTTCTGTGCTGGTTTGTGCTGTAAAAATTTGTGCTGCTTTGGTTTTTTAGATATTAAAATAATATTTATAGGTCATTCTGAGGTCACTCAGCCCCCCAACATACTCCAAATTCACCCCAAATAGTCTTGTTTGTTTGTGCTTCGTTTGTGCTGGTTTGTGCAGGTAAAAGTTTTGTTTGTGCTGCTTCGGTTTTTAAGATATTAGACACTGAATTATAGGCGATGACGTCACCAGCCCCCCACATGCTCCAAATTCACCCAAAACAGGCTCAATCGTTTGTGCTTCGTTTGTGCTGGTTTGTGCAGGTAAAAGTTTTGTTTGTGCTGCTTCGGTTTTTAAAATATTAGACATTGAATTATAGGCGATGACGTCACTCAGCTCCCCCACATGCTCCAAATTCACGAAAAATGTTCTTGTTTGTTTGTGCTTCGTTTGTGCAGGTAAAAGTTTAGTTTGTGCTTCTTTGGTTTTTTAGATATTAAAATATTATTTAGTGATAATTCTGAGGTCACTCAGCCCCACACATGCTCCAAAATTAGCTACCCCAAATAGTCTTGTTTGTTTGTGCTTCGTTTGTGCTGGTAATATTTTCGTTTTCGCTACTCGTTTTTAAAGATTTTTTCCTAGTCAACAGATTAGTCAACGACCATCTCCACAGTATAAAGCAAATCCAAAAATGACGGAGTAGCCTATTCTAAGTTCTTTCTGCAGGAAAAAAAAAAAATGGAGAGATTGCGCGGGTGCCTCCATATCATATAGTAATACTATAATACTCCCACAAATACTTGACATGCGCATATAGCGATTTTATTATTCATATACAAATGATAATAATAATACCCTGTTTTGGTATTAATAATAATACCCATATTTACTATTAATTGCCCAGCTCCCCATCAATGATCTAGCGCAGAGACATATAGTTCTAAACTGAATGTGCAAGAGAAGCATTAGCCTACTTCTAATTTGGCCAAAGAAAACTTGTTAAAATCAAAATGTTTCTATATTAATTTGTGTATTTTTTTCAATTGTTTATTAAAGGTGCAAAAAGTCATTAAAAAATCTATATTTTACTTTTTTCGGGCAGCATTGTGTACGGTTCTAATTTCAAATTTGGTTTTCAGGATGGCATTTAAAAATACAACAATCATTCTTTTTTCATTTTTTCGTCATGGTTAAAAAAGGAAAAACGAATGGATGCAAAAGTATAGAATCCGTGTATCATTCGATCATTCGTTTTTTGATTTAATATTGAAAGTAGAAAAATTTGAAAACGGCTATTTTTTTAGTTTTTTAGTTTTTTTTCCAAAAAACGAAAATTCAGCTTAAATTTTCGTTTTTCGTTCATGGGTGGAAAAATGAATAAACAGCTTGAATATTCGATTTCTACACGTGGGCGGGAATTAAACGCCCCTTTCTGCTGATACACGGATTTATAGGCTACACGGACTTGGAAAAACAGTAGGCTATTGCATGTTTTATTTGTGCGCAGAAACGAAAATAGGCCTATGTATATCAAGTCTTTATTTTTTTTATGTAAAGACATAATGAAATAGGCCAAGTTTTTTTTTTTTCGTTTAATTGGTCTAATTGAACGAATATGGCTACTAACAATTAAGTGACTGCGACTATTGTGATTTGGTTTGCCGTTTGAATTTATTACTTATTACTTCAACTGTATTGTTAAAAAAGACAGTAAAAACAAAAATACCGGTACAAACCAGCACAAACAAACGAGACTATTGGGGTAAATTTGGAGCATGTGGGGGGCCGAGTGACATCAAAATGATCATTAAATATTATTTTAATATCTAAAAAACCAAAGCAGCACAAACAAAACTTTTACCTGCACAAACGAAGCACAAACAAACAAGACTATTTGGGGTGAATTTGGAGTATGTTGGGGGGGCTGAGTGACCTCAGAATGACCTATAAATATTATTTTAATATCTAAAAAACCAAAGCAGCACAAACAAAATTTTTTACAGCACAAACGATTGAGACTATTTTGCCGACGTTTTGTGTTTGGTGGGGGGCCAACTTCACGGAGGTCAAACACAGCATGCTCATATCCATAATGAACAATACAATTTACTAAGAGCAGCTCAAATTAGCACTGGGCCACAAACAAGCACAGCCAGTGATGATCAGATGCAGGTAATCCACTTACAATACAGGAGCGTAATGATTAAGACATGCTTTTTTTGGGTGTTAAATAATGACAATTTTTCAAGTAGTACTGCAAACCCCTATTCGTTTAAATACTCTCCTCCCATACATTTTGCATCTGAAGGGTAAACTCCTACAAATGCAATAAGGTTAGCTGCAAAAATATCTTTTTTTTAATTTTTTTTATGATTTTTCAATCCATGACTTTAGTACGTATTGACAGTAGGTTTTTGTTATGTCAAAAGAGAGTTTGCACTGATATGAGCTGTTAGTATATCTGGCCTTTTGTGTTTTCATTCTTAGTGAAAAGGTTTACAATTGTCTATGGCTTATGTTTTCTTTTGTGTCACTGCAACACCTCACTGTCTGTTAAACACAGTTTATTGAACTGTGATATTTACAGTCCTCTGAAAACACTTGTTCTGCTGACACCCTTGAAAAGCAATTTTTTTTATTTTTATTTTTTACAAAGTTACTCCTGAAAAAGTTGTATTAAAAATGGATCTATAATATTTACTTTTTAGTTTGATCTATTTTTATATTTTAACCTGGATTTGCCATAAAAATAGACATACTGTAGCAGCTGGAATGACATTAAAAAAAATTATATAATTAATTGTAAAGCCTAATATTTTACTCTTCTTCCCTTCTCATTGTAATACAGAATTTAAATGTAATTAGTTTAATTACATTGCAGTCAATTAAATTAGTTCTGTTTATCACTTGTATTTGTTGTTAGTCTCTGTACTTGTGTGCACAGTAAGCGATCAGTGTTAAAGTGCCCTATTATGGATTTTTGAAAATTACTTTTCATGCAGTGTGTAACACAGCTCTAAGTGAATGAAAACATCCTGCAAAGTTTTAAATCTGAAAGTGCACCGTGTATTGTCTCTCAAAAGAAAGAGTCGACTCTGAATCATTGAAACGAGTGGTTTTTAAAACTAATTTCTAGCTGTTTCATGTTGACATCAACATGAATCATTAGCATATTGCCCGCCCACTTGTTGCGCACCCAGACCTGGGAAAACTTGATTTTTATGTTGGTCTGAATGAAAATGCAAATTCATTCTTTGCCACTAGGTGCAGCTTTTGGAGCGGTAAAAATAGCTGTTTCCCCGGTAACGCTGTACACAAAGCAACGCTTTATCAGGCATTACAGGCTCATGATTAAATGAAAATGAGACCAATCACTGCAGATTAGCGTCACGCAAAGGAGGGGTTTGGAAAAATTAATTGAGCGAATCGTTTAGGAGTCGTTTAGCAAATAAGGTAAAATTAAATGCATATTATAAGACAATGAAACTGTTTTTTGACCTTGCATGCATGTCAACCTGTTGTTGGGGACTCCCAAAACTAAAATATGAGCCTTTCATAACCCATAATAGAGGCACTTTAATGAGTTCATGTGTAGATTGGGTTGTGTATTTCCATAACATATCAAGCAGAACAGGGATAATTGCAAGTTTTTTAACTCTCTCTCGCTCCCTGCTCTTCAGCTCATCTTTTCAAACTATTTTCCACTGTACACACTGTCATGTACATGCCATTTCCCTTCTTTTACTTTTACTATGCCTGTCACGCTTTCTGCCTGCCTCTGTACTTGGCACCTCCTGCTCTATGTCTGACTTTTTCCCCACCCACTCTCTCTCTTTAGGAGCTCACAATAGTTCTTGATGAGTTGGAGGTCAAGCAGAAGGCATTGTACACGTCTCTACAGGACATAGTTGGGGACTTGAAGTCCAAACGAGGGAGGCTTGAACGCAGTGCCGCCCTGAGGAGACAGAGGGAACTGTATGTTTATTTCCATCTGGACCCAAGACTGCTCAGCAGAGCAGTGAGAGATATAGAGGCTCAAGCAGGGGTTATGTAGAATCAGAACGTAGACTTTGTCTACTCCTTTGTCTACTCCTTTGTCTACTCAAGCCAACAATACAGGAGTCCCTGCTTTAAAAAAAAAGTATGTTATATGCAGATAAGAACACAGACTATTGTTGCTTCTGTTATGGAGCTCCGTAGATCTGATATACAAATTTTTTTTATTCTTTATTTCTGATATCTGCTAAAAGTTAATGTTCTTTAGGTATGACAAATTTGTATTTAGTACGTACAGTTTCACATCAATTTGCATTTTTAACAAATGTACTGCACCTTGTATATATCATGTTTCTTATAGTTTGTGGATGATTAATAGTTGTATCTTTGTAAATAAACATAATTTGTAATCTCAGTGTTTCAGAAAATCTTTTTTGTGTGTGTGTTTTAAATTTTTTATAAATGCAGTTTGATTCTTTGCCTCAATACATTTAGGATTTTCATCTCATTAAAAAAGACCACCTGAAAAGCACCAGCCGACTAAGTATTATCTTTTGATAGATCTGAGTTGACTGACAGACATTGGAACAATGGATTTCCACTCATATATTGTGTTGTGGAAGAGTATGACAGCAGCCAAATATTGTGTTGCATGTGCATGTTTGGTCCCTTTGTTGTTAGATATGAATCTAGCACCTTCTGCTTAGATTGGACTGCTATTTTTCTGAATGTGTGTCTACAGGCTTAAGACAGACTAGGAGTGCAGCAAATGAGATGGAAAGCTACCTCTGCAGCAGTCTGAACACAGCACCTCTCTCTGCAGCTGCACAGAGTGTCATATCAGCCCTTCGGGTCCAGTATGTGCACAGAACAGACAGAAGCAGAGCTAGTGAGTCAGAAACGGAATATTCTAAAAAATATCAAGTTTTGGCCAACAGGAAGCTGCATTTTATTGGGTATTAACACTCAAGTTCAAACTTTTGAGCTAGACTTGGTGACTTTGAGAAAGACTAGTTCACAAACCGGTGTTAAAAATGGTTTAAATATTTTTCTGTCTGAGGGAATCTTTAACTATTAAAAATTACAGGCTTATCTGGTAGAGGTTTTGGACTGTCTCAGCAGCAAGACAGAGATGACAGAAATAAAGATTTGTTTGCAGGGAAAAACAGGTGAGTAATACCGCTGATACAGCATCTACAGTAAAAACAGTTTAATATTTAGATATTTGCTGTGCATATATTATGCCAATAATAATGTATACATAACTACAAATAAAATAACTTCATTTTACTTTATTTACATTTTAAAAGGTTGTTTATGTACAGTACATAGAAAGTTCCTAGTCTTAAACAAGTTTACACTGATAGTTTCTATTTTCTGATCATTTTATCTCTTATTTTATCTTTCTGTCTTTAGAACATTGGATTCTAATGATCTGGTGGAAGATTCAAACCACTTCAAGTTAAGTAATGAGACCAGTAATGAGAGGTTTGCACTGTACTATGCTGGTGATATGATAAAGCCCAACGTCCAGCCTTCTATACCGGGAGCACAGGGAGAAGATTGTTTACATATGTTCCGCTTAAATAGCATTGGGAGCCCTCAGGCTAGACCAGGCATTATGACAGAAGCAGAGATCCATAGACTGACCTTCAGGAAGAGGAGTTGGATTCAACCAGCAAGCCCCTCTGAAAAAGACCCAGTAGGTTGTGAACAACATGAGGCTCCAGTAAAGAAGTTCATCTTTGGGCAGCATACATTTCCTACTCATCCAGTATCTGGAGAAGAAGAAAAGAGGATTGATATTGTGGACAAGCAGCAGAGGACTGGACAGATAGAGCCATTTTGGAGTTGTCGATCGGGGTTGACAGCAAAAGATAGCAGTGAGTCTGTTTTGGAAGACATCTCAAAAGAGGCCAGAGCTGACCAAGCTGTGATCATACAAGTGCAGCATAGTAATCATATGTCTAATGTAGAGAAACCAACATCTAAGTCTGAGGACCTGGAGAGCAGCCATTACTGGCAAAATAGCAGAAACTCTGAATTGTCACTTCCAGTGGAAAGCTGTGTACATGCTGAAATATGTGGAAGTGTCTCTGTCCTCGAATGTGTGCCTGACACACCTGTTAGGTCAGGTGAAATACTGGACTCAGTGGAGGAAAAAGAAGACTGTGGCTCTGAAAGAAGAGAGATTACCAAGAGCAGAACAAGTAAGTACAGTGCTTGATGGTCTGCTAGACCGTACAATACATATTTTGAAAAATCTTCATATTGCAGCCCTACTATTTCACATGTAAGCCATTCTCCCAGTGTGTCAGCCTTATCAAGGCTGGTAATGTCTGATTTGCAAATAATTTGTTCTTGTAAACCAACCAAGTTTTATCAAGATTTACAAAATGCTGTTTAAAATGGTTTTAGATGGCATATAGCTTTTACCTTTTTTTTTTTGTGTCGGCTACATACAAGCTAATGATGCAACAAACAGACACTACCCACTGGGCAGAAATGAGATGCATGCTTCCACATGCCAGTGACAATGCTGAGACACTATTCACTCTTTTTATCATACACGCAGATTCTCCCCAGCCAGTTGAGAATACATTTCTGATGCCTGTTGGAGAGAGAGATGGAAAGGTGGAATCCACAGGACCCCCCACCAGTGATGGAATGCAGCACAGCATCCAGACCCACTCTCAGGTAATGTACTGACTCCAGTGCTGAGAGAAGGCAGTCCTTCTCTCAGATGTTATGTCATCAGAGATGTGTTTGTCTGATTTTCTGAATCTCAACATTCCTCTTTTTATCCACTTTTAAAAGTAATGCATTACAATATTGCGTTACTCCATAAAAAAGTAACTAATTACGTTACTTAGTTACTTTTTATGGAAAGTAATGCATTGTTACTTTTGCGTTACTTTTTAAATCTGGACAGGGCTTGCTTGTTTGTTTTTAAAATAAAAAAAATTCTATTTTTGGCAAATATATAAAAGCCTTTTCACACCAAAAGTGAAATGAATAAGCCTCAGGCTGAAGGGAAAGTAAATTTACGTCTGTACAGTAGAATGCAGAAGAAGAAACACACTTCAGCAATAAAAAAAAAACACACAAATGTTTGTCTAGAGTAATTTTTGCTTATTAGTATGGTTGAACTGGATCATCGAAAAGATAGCAGTGAGTCTGTTTTGGAAGACATCTCAAAAGAGGCCAGAGCTGACCAAGCTGTGATCATACAAGTGCAGCATAGTAATCATATGTCTAATGTAGAGAAACCAACATCTAAGTCTGAGGACCTGGAGAGCAGCCATTACTGGCAAAATAGCAGAAACTCTGAATTGTCACTTCCAGTGGAAAGCTGTGTACATGCTGAAATATGTGGAAGTGTCTCTGTCCTCGAATGTGTGCCTGACACACCTGTTAGGTCAGGTGAAATACTGGACTCAGTGGAGGAAAAAGAAGACTGTGGCTCTGAAAGAAGAGAGATTACCAAGAGCAGAACAAGTAAGTACAGTGCTTGATGGTCTGCTAGACCGTACAATACATATTTTGAAAAATCTTCATATTGCAGCCCTACTATTTCACATGTAAGCCATTCTCCCAGTGTGTCAGCCTTATCAAGGCTGGTAATGTCTGATTTGCAAATAATTTGTTCTTGTAAACCAACCAAGTTTTATCAAGATTTACAAAATGCTGTTTAAAATGGTTTTAGATGGCATATAGCTTTTACCTTTTTTTTTTTGTGTCGGCTACATACAAGCTAATGATGCAACAAACAGACACTACCCACTGGGCAGAAATGAGATGCATGCTTCCACATGCCAGCTGAGACACTGAGACACTATTCACTCTTTTTATCATACACGCAGATTCTCCCCAGCCAGTTGAGAATACATTTCTGATGAGAGAGAGATAGAGAGATGGAAAGGTGGAATCCACAGGACCCCCCACCAGTGATGGAATGCAGCACAGCATCCAGACCCACTCTCAGGTAATGTACTGACTCCAGTGCTGAGAGAAGGCAGTCCTTCTCTCAGATGTTATGTCATCAGAGATGTGTTTGTCTGATTTTCTGAATCTCAACATTCCTCTTTTTATCCACTTTTAAAAGTAATGCATTACAATATTGCGTTACTCCATAAAAAAGTAACTAATTACGTTACTTAGTTACTTTTTATGGAAAGTAATGCATTGTTACTTTTGCGTTACTTTTTAAATCTGGACAGGGCTTGCTTGTTTGTTTTTAAAATAAAAAAAATTCTATTTTTGGCAAATATATAAAATTTACGTCCGTACAGTAGAATGCAGAAGAAGAATTTTCAACACACTTCAGCAATAAAAAAAGACACAAATGTTTTTCTAGAGTAATTTTTGCTTATTAGTATGGTTGAACTGGATCATCGAAGGTCAGAAGCAAAGACATTGGTTAATAGAATGGGATTAAATACATAAAGGATATTTGTGTTTTAACATTTAATTATTGCAGGTTTGTATCATATTCTGAGTTGCATTATTTTTATTCATTTTGAGGAATAAGGAATCAGTTTTTTTTTTTGTGAGAGATGAATTCATGCATTTCATATTTATTTTTAACTACAGTAACATCTGATTTCTCTCAACATTGGGACAGGAGAGCTGTCAATCAATAAATTGGAAAAAAAAGTAACTTGCGTTACTTATTTGAAAAAGTAACTCAGATATTCTCTTGTAAATTAAAAAGTAATGCGGTACTTTACTAGTTACTTGAAAAAAGTAATCTGATTACGTAACTCGCGTTACTTGTAATGCGTTACCCCCAACACTGTTGCTAATAATATGCTAAATAAATGTTGGAAAGGAAGAAATAAGATTGTGAAACACTACTAGACCACAGCTCTGACATGTCTTTAGGCCTATAATTTCAGTTTCTGCTTGCTGTTTTTTCTCTCATATATTTAAAATGTTGTAAGGGAGACAGGTCAATTTAGCTCAAAGGGAATCATTTGGACAGAATCACTGAGTCGGCCAGCGATTCATTGAACGAGCCGTATATCGTCAACTCCGCATGGATGTTAATATCCAAAATGTAGTGAAAACTATTTATTAGCACAGTAACAAGATCGGCAGTTTAAGACATTAACTTGTAAGCACAAAACACAAGATAGTACTTTCCAATATAAATAAGAATTTATTGGATAAATCGAAGACATATAAACTAATCTAACACATAAATATACAGAATCATACATTCACACAAGTTGCAGAAAGAGAAAAAAGTGAGGAAAGAATGAGTTAAAGAGAGTGAAAATATGAAATCCCAAGACTTATCTAGACAAAGATCACTAAATGCTAGATAGTCTAAAAATAGCATGAACATTAAAAAGCCTCACTTATCTAGGGATCAGTTATCTAGTGTGCAAGAATGTTTTGATCCTGAATGCTTGGTGTAGTTTTATTTGAACTCCTTTCAAGGTGAAACAGCCTACTAATGAATAATGGAAGTCTCCTGCAGATGTCTGTTACGTAAAGAATCACAGGGGTCATTCAGAGGTTGAGAAGTACCAGGCGAAGACTTGTCCTAGCAGCGATAAAAGTGTGGGTGCATCAGCCTAATAACTGCTTTAGAAAGCTTTATAAGTGACAGACTGGGAACTGTGTGTACATATTCTCGTATTGAAGCTTTTTTTTAAGCTGATTTGTCTGGCACTGACAACCAAACTCTGAATAGGAGGGTTGTGTGTGGATGGCTGTCTGCTGCTGATTTAAGCTTTTTGAAGTTATGTAATTGGCTTCTATTTGAATTGTGTGGAATATTTTCTTCACATGTAATAAGAGCTCATTTGAACTCAAATGTCCTCTTCTTTAACTCTACTTGCATTTGTTGTCTTAACACATACAGGCTGGTGAGATGAAATCATTTCCAAAGCATAAATGTGAACCCCCTGGACCCTCACAGGAAGCTCCTAAGATCATTTCATCACATGAGTTGAGCAAAAAAACACTCGGAGCCCTCAGGTTCCCCTCGCAGCTCTTCCACAAGGCAAAAGTAAAGGGCTCAATAAAACTCTTAAAACCAAAACTTCTACAGCCCAATGTCAAGATGCAGAGACATCCTCTCCGACCACAGAAAGAATTAAAGAGTCAAGGATGCAATAAACCAAATCACTCCAAATCCCCAAAGCTCTCTGATCCAAGTCTGTCAGGATCCAAACGAAGCAATGAAATGCCTTCAGAAGCAGACAGAAAAGAAGATGGAACCACAGCAAGCACTAAAGGGGCCTTTAGTTTGACCTCTGATCCCAGGGTGTGTGACACAGGACGTCTCTCACAAGAGGAGAGAGAGTGTTTGTTAGAGGAGGCAGGAAAAGTCAAAGCATTTGTTGTTACCATGGTATACCAAGATGGCACCATACAATTGGACCCAGAACAGGTGTGATTACAGAGTCACTAGATGATATTCATTGAGCTAAATTATTAAAGGGGTCATATGATGCGATTTCAATTTTTCCTTTCTCTTTGAAGTGTTACAAGCTCTTGGTGCATAAAGAAGATCTGTAAAGTTGCAAAGACTAAAGTCTCAAATCCAAAGAGATGTTGTTAATAAAAGTTACGAGTCAACCACGCCTACCTAAAATGGCTCGTTCTAACATGCCCCCACATGTCTACGTCACGGAAGATTTGCATAACGCCGCCAAAATGTTCACGCAAAGAAAGTAGGCGTAAATTGTATTCTCGCTGTAGTATTGTTGCCGCCACCGCCATGCCGTGGAGACGCTGTGTTTCGTTGTGAAAGCGAAACTACTGAGATAGTGAATTGGTGGGTTTTTGTTAAATGTGAGCCAAAATCATCACAATTAAAAGAACCAAAGACTTAAACTACTTCAGTCTGTGTGCATTGAATTTATTTAATACACGAGTTTCACAATTTGAGTTGAATTACTGAAATAAATGAACTTTTCCATGACATTCTAATTTATTGAGATGCACCTGTACATCAACTTCGTGCTGTGGATCGCCGGATCGGCTTTCACCGTGGACGAAGCAGAGTCCAGCCCAGGGTCGTCACACGTGGTTGCCGCAAGCCCGCTGGCCGCGCCGTTCTCAAGCCCACCGGCCTCCGCTCACTCTAGCCGCTGGCCTCTGCTCACTCAGCCCGCCGGCCATTCCTCACTCTAGCCGCCGGCCGTTCCCCACTCTAGCCGCCGGCCTCCGCTCACTCTAGCAGCCGGCCTCCGCTCACTCTAGCCGCCGGCCTCCGCTCACTCTAGCCCGCTGTGTTTCGTTGTGAAAGCGAAACTACTTTGTTTGGTCTTCCAAAAGTGAAGTGACATGTGGCCAAGTATGGTTACCCATACTAGGAATTAGTGCTCTGCGTTTAACCCATCCTAAGTGCACACACACAGCAGTGAACACACACATACCGTGAACATGCACCCGGAGCAGTGGGCAGCCATTTATGCTGCGGCGCCCGGGGAGCAGTTGGGGTTTCGGTGCCTTGCTCAAGGGCACATCAGTCGTGGTATTGAAGGTGCAAAGAGAGCGCTGTACATTCACTCCCCCCACCTACAATTCCTGCCGGACTTGAGACTCGAGTCCGACTCTCTAACCATTAGGCCACGAACATTTCATTACACCAAATACACAAAATAATGTTCTTTTTTAGCAACATCATATGACCCCTTTAAGCTTTGGCTGTACTACAAATTTTGTTGGATATACTGTACACTACTGTTCAAAGGGGATGATCGTTTGACACTGAAGACTGGAATAATGGCTGCTGAAAATTCAGCTTCACCATCGCAAGAATGAATTACATTTTAAAATATTTTCAAATAGAAAACAGTTATTTTAAATTATAGTATTTCAGATTATTACAGTTTTGCTGTATTTTTAATAATCAAAATGCTTCTATAAAAAACATAAAACAAGTAATTAATTAAGATAGATTTGCTGCAAATTATGCTGCAAACTGAATGTTGTATGAGTGGTACTGTATGTGAGAATTAATGGCTGGATATATTCAATGTCTCTCCTAAAGAAGCTGAGCCCTTCAGTGTGTGGCCTTCTGGTTCTGCTAAAGAGGGAATTGGATTCCGAGGGACCACAGGACAGACCACCAGAGAGGGTGCTGTACCTTAGACTAGACCAGGCACCAGCTTGGGCCCAACAAGACTATACACAAAAGCAGGATGTCTTTACCAGGTGTGTTTGTGTTTGGAGAGGAAACGAGAAGCGACAGAGAGGTATTTACATGTAACTGCTGTCCTTATTGTGTCCTTGCTGTTTTTCTGTCACAGATGCCAAGTAGCATTAGTTATTTGTTTTCCTTTAAAGGGATACTGTTATAAATGTAATGTGGAATTGAGTGTAGGTGAGGACATTTGTGGATGCTGTAGGTGATGTTCAGTGTGTTTTACTTTGTATCTGTATGTCTGTGCGTTCTTAGAGAGATGCTCATGCAGATGCTGTGTGACACAAAGCCATTTGTATGCTTTAAAGCTAAAGACCTGCTTCGCACAGCACTGAAACACTTCAGCAAAGACTTGAGCTGGAAACAAGGTGGCACACAGTTTTTATTTTATCAGACTATTTAAACAGTTACCATGTTATATAGAATAGGAGCTCAAAAGACTACATTGAAAATCTTTTTTCAGCAGGATATAAACAATGTTTTAGGAGTTATTGTATTAAAACAGCACAAAGTTGATTTGAAAAGTGTGAAAATTCTTTATTATATTCTAACATTTTATTTACTATTTCTAAGTCAATGATTAAACAAGCAAATATGTGACATTTATTTTGTTAACTCATATAAACTTATATATTAAGTCAAATGTTCCTGCTTATGTTAAGACGCTCTTAAAATCATGCTTAAAATCAAGAGAGAAAAACTTTAAATGTTAACATTACAAAGAGTGAAAAATTTAAGGGGGTCTGAATACTTTCCGTACCCACTGTATAGACCTTTAATGAATCTAATTTTTAAAATGTGGGAACAGTAGTAATGTGGGTAATATTTTTTTCTGTGCAGTGTTGGGATGTCATGTGATGGATCCTCAGATTTCAGCATGGTTGTTAGATCCTGCCAATTCTGCGTCCTGCTTCCAGACCCTGCTTTGCAAGCACTACTCACATTCAGTTACGTCCACATCACTGCAACCTGTGCTTGGGCAAGCCAAGGTCAGATATACACACTTGATTCAACAAATGGTGTTCAGAAAAGACCGCAGCGGTGTGTCTGAATCTCGACTTTGAAATTACACTTTTACAGTGCCATTGTGCCTCTCTTTACTGCTTATCAGGTTACTCAAGTGATCTCAAACTTGTCTCTCTTATACAATCTAATGGTGGAACTGCATAACAAGCTTCAGGTAATTTAAAATTAATCTTTTCTAAATAAAGCATTATGTACAATGTTTCTCAGTTTTCTCTCAAGCTCTCAATTTTCTGTTTCTTTGTATGTAGACTCAGGGGCTGTGGCAGCTCTATTCTGGCATAGAACAAAAGATGATTCCAATTCTGGCAGGTCTGAGCAAACAGATTCTAGAGATAAAAAGTGAATGATTTAACTCCGAATGTCATTGCATTTCCTGATCTATTCATTTCATGGTATAATCATAAGTTTATTTCAATTTTTACTTGAAACAGTTCTAAAAAAACAGTTCTTTGTCTAATTCTTTAGTCACTTAATCGATTGAATAAACCTTTAGTACAGCACATTGTAAGAAAAATGATGAGGACGACGAAGATCTCGATGAAGATGTTTATTGCAGCATAGCAGTGACAAAGTACATGTAGTACCTTGGGTTCAACGGAGTCGGAATGAACCACGAACATCCTAAGCTCAAACATTTTATACACTTAGTTTACTACCCTCAATGTAAATTAAGTTGTTCCTGTTGTTACAGCTGTGGTCTGTATGTTAATTAAGTTCTAACACCCCTTTGTCTGAGGTGGTTCTCAGTGTCTCACACCTGCTCCCATTCTACAATTGGTCAACATTTGCTCAGGATGTGATCATCCCAAGTGATCTACAAACAACATCATCTTCATTATAATAATTAAGCCATTTTGGGAAATGAGCATGATCAAACATATTGTGGAGTGGAATCTGGGTCGGGGGAGACTATAGATTCTTACAGCACATTCATTCTTTATATCTTTAAATTTACTTTCACAGTCTGAAATGAAATGCTGTTTAAGAAGGGAGTTATATATCACTGTCTAATGAATTAGATTTAGTTTTGCATTTACAATAAAGCCAATAATTTTGACTTACTGCATTAACATTGTTCCCTCTCTCTCTCAGTTATGGAAAGCTATAAAATGCATGTGGACAAGGAGGCCATGAAAAATACTTCAGAGTTGCTAGGGGTAAGAGTGTGTATGATTCTATTATGATTCTATAAACAGCCATAAACCATGATTTTCTCAGGTCTGTCTTCCCTAAGGAAGAATTGAGGGTATATTGTGTGTAGTTAATATTAATGACTAGATCTACCACTGCTGGCATCTGCTTTCTCAAAAAGAACATTACCATCTCTTTTTATATCTCTTGCCTTCTCCCTCACGAATGCACATATATATTGTTTTCTTGAGTGCTTTGTGTACATTTATTTCATAAACTCCTGCACTCTTCACATTTCCTCCTCTTCTGTCATTCTTCTGCTTTGTACATCCCTCTCATCCTCCCTCAGTTCTCTCAGAAGAAGGGAATTGATTAAACACTTCAGGATTATTCTCTGTGGGGTGTTACTGTACCTTCTGTATTTGAAAGTGTCCAAATGAGCAGCAGCACCCTTCTAGCAAGGTTCTCTCTTGCGCTCTCTCTCTCTCTCTCTCTCTCTCTTTCTCAGTCTAAGCTGAAGCAGTTAGAGCAGGAGGCTCACCAGGCTGCAGGTCAGAAGTTCTTGGTGTCCAGCAGTGCACAGCTCAGACTGGTCAGTGTTTTTAAAAAGGCGTTTGAAAGTTTGCTAGTTATCTGCCTTGACATCATTTCTGAGCATAATCATAGATGCCCTGTAATGCCCATTAGGGCTTGTAAATGTTGTCTAATAGGTAGGTTTTGTTGTCACTTATCTGTTGATAGTTACTGTAATGTAATTAGAAATATGTATTACAAACCTCTTTTCAGATCCTATTCGAGAAGCTGCGCTTACATGAACTTTGTGAGAATAAAAAGCTTCCCAAAACAATCAAAAAACAGCAGTCCACATCAGAAACAGCAGTGAGTACACATTTAATGTCCTTATACGTGCAAACAGACATGAGGTGTTCAAATGGATGTTATTGTGGTTACACTTTATTTTAAGGTGTCCTTGCTACAGTGTAATTATATATTTAAGCACTGAGTAATATTAATTAACTGCATGTACTTACTATAGGGTTAGGGTTAGTTTAGGGTTTGTCTTAGGGTTACTTGCATGTAACTCTGCATATTCAGCATATTATTTAGACATTCTTAGATATCTAAGAGCATGAATGGATGTTTTTTTTATTTATCACCTATTGATTCTTTAACTAAAATTGAAAGTAGAATGTATCAGTTTTAATTCAGTTTCTGGCTTTTTTGCACTATTTTAGCTATTACAACTACAGAATCTGCATCCACTGCCAAAAATCATACTTGAATACAGACAGATTCACAAAAACAAGACTGCATTTGTGGATGGCATTTTGTCTTGCATGAGCAAGGTGAGACATTTGACATACAGAATTTTAGAAATCAAATCATGCACACTAGGTGGCAGTACAAGAGTGTCACATTTGAGTAATTTATTTTGACAATGTTTTCTGTTCTTTTTCTTGTGAAACATTCAATTAGGGTTCATAACTGTATTTTTAATATAGTAAAAAAAAAAAGTTAACCTCTGTTGATTTTGAATGCTCTTTAAATGACTTAAGCTGACAGAATTAACAGATGATCGTTGTTTAGTAAATTTTGGGCTTTTTGTTTTCTCTGTTTCTCTGCTTCTCAGACGTTCATTTCTTCCACATGGAATCAGACAAGTACAGTGAGCGGCAGACTGTCTGCTAAACATCCTGTGAGTACTTCTAATTTGCCCTTTCAACTCTGTCACATGCCTGTTTACTATTGATCTGTCCTCCCTTTTCTCTCCTTCACTTTTCTAGGTATTTTGTCATGCTCTGTTTCACTTTCAGACACATGCACACACTCCCACTATTTTTTATGAAAAAAAAGCCTCTGAGACTGGGATACAACTATTTGCTGCCCCATTATGTTGTACCATTCCTCCTCTCTTGCTCTCTCTAGTGTTGTGACAAATCGATAGATCATCTCTAGGTCTCTCAGGGTCCAGCATTCACTTGCTATACGATTTACACTGTTGCAACACTACACTCACACAGAGAACACTGTCCTCTAATATCTCCTTCCTTCAGATACATTTTTAATCCATCGTTCTAGTCATTCTTTCTTTAAAATAATTGAGCTTGTCATTATTTGGGGCTCTAAGACATCCCTCACACCTCACACTTGTCACATACATTTATGAATGATCTGTGTCTCCTTCATACTGAATTCAGTTAAGTAATCTCTGGTGGTTTGTCCATTTGAGCATTGTAACTGTAACCACTGCATTAAAAAATTTATAAATATAAATGAGATTCATTAGCTGCTAGGACTAATTGAGAAAAATAATTGGCCATTAATTGCAGCCTAGGGATAGATCATCCTGAGAGTTCAAATGATGCAGAATCATACTGAATAACTGTGAAATTAAAGCTGAAATTCACCTGCAATTCCCTGTTTGGCTTAACTTTTTAATACTTCTGTTTCTCTGTGTTCCAGTGGGTGAGTTTAGTTTTTCATCAAACCAGCGGGCATGCCCCTACAATTTTGCCTTTCGTACTGTACTTTACTACTTTCCCTTCTCTTACTCTTTTAAAATCCTTCATGAGCAAGACTAAGCCAGAAGCTTTCAGGCAATCTGGATTTAAGAAGGATTAGATTCAGTCCTTCATAGCTGATTTTTGTGCTATATTCTGTGTATTTTGTGAGCCCTCCAGATGTTAGATGTTACTAAGGCTTTGTATGTGTATTTGACGGCGTATGTGTGTACACTGCCGCTCAAAAATTTGTGCTTGGTAAGATTTAAAGAAAAAAGAAATTAATACTTTTATTTAGAAACAATGCATTACATTGATCAAAAGTAAAAACATTTATAATGTGACAATAGATTTTGGACTTTCATAAATGCATTTCACATAAATGCTGTTCTTTTGAACTTTCTGTTCATTAAAGAATTTTCAAAAATAAATTTATGATGGCTTCCACAAAAATATTATGCAGCACAATGGTTTTCAACACAGAATAACAATATGAAATTTTTCTTGAGTACTATTTCAACATGTTAGAATCATTTCTGAAGGATCATGAAAACTAGAGTAATGGGGGCTGAAATCAGCTTGGCCATTACAGGAATAAATATGATTTTTAAATATATTAATACAGAAAACATTTTAAATTGTAATAATTTTTCACAATGTTACTGTACTGATTTTACTGTATTTTTGATCAAATAAATGCAGTGAAGCTAAAAAATCTTACTGACCTCAAATTTTTTAACGATTGTGTGTGCGTGCGTGCGTGTCTGTCTGTGTCTCTGTAGACCTTAGTCAAGGTAAATGGTATATTTAATTTTTTGATAATGAAACCGAGACTGTTAGGGATAGTCAAAGTTGTGTCCAATCACATACAGTAGGTTGTGTAATGTTAATGGCATGTCTGATTCCCACAATCAGTCAGTGTTTTTTGGATTTTATTTGTCCATTTGGAAATTTTTGGGTGTATTTCCAATGTTTTGTGTAATTTGTGTAATACAGATTCTGTCCCTGCTGTTGGAGAAACTTGAATGCTGTCTCTGCTCTGCTGCAGAGGGGGCGGCTGCCTTGTTTTGATACCTTTCTATAACACACACACACTCACACTTCTTCCTCACTGTTGCTTTCTTCACTCCCCCTTTGTCTTTGAACATACACACAAATCTGCCTAGACACAAATAAAGCAGGCTGGCAGTAGCTTTTTTCAGCTTTAATACGGGTTTGCTTAAGGCAAAGCTTTTGCAGGCTTTAGAGTCATAACCAAAAAATGAGCCGCCTTTTGGATCAGAATCCCTCAAGTGTTCTTGAACAGAAGACCAGACATCACTTATCCATCCAGAGACATCCTTGACAATAACACCAAAGAACAGTCGAATGAGGACAGACGTCTTTCTCTTCATCTTTATTTCTTTGTCTTCTCGCTGGCTTCATATCAGCTTTTCATATGCTATCCAAAGCCGCCTATCCTGCATTTCACAACTGAGAGCTAATCTCCTTGCATTTGATAAATAATACCTTTAGGAGAAATGGTCCTGCGAATCATGTGATGTTCAGAATAGCTGTGTTACGTTCCCAGCTAGTCTAGGGTTGGAGGAACAAGTAACAGAATAGAAAAGGTGATGTGTGGAGGCAGCAAGACTCAATTCTCAACCCCCGAGCTTTAACAAAGGCCAAGAATCTCAATATCAAAAACAAGTTATTTTATTTGACAGATATGGAAGGATGTCAAGACTTCAAGAGGGGGCAAGGCCAAAATAACAAACATAAACCCTCTAACTATTTGGGAGAAACTGACTAAGCTAAACAAAGAAAAGAAAACAAAAATACAATAGATATAACTACCTCCCTAACTAACAAACAAACAAGAGAAAAACAAAATAAAGAAAATGGCACCCACCTCTCTACTAACACTTTCCCAATAAACTAACAACGCAAGTTTAACAGATAAACAATAACATAAATAGGGACAAAACAAATAATAACTTCCAAAACAAACCAGATTTCTTGTCATAGGCGTCAAGTACCACAAGAGTGTCAACACAATAACACTGGGAAGAAATCATTCAACAAAGTATTAACCAAAACAACTAATAAAGCTTTTAAGGTTGAGAATAGAAGCCTCCCGACACAGCCTCCACACACACACCCTTGCGCTGTGCAATGGTGCTGCTTAAATTCTCACGGCTTCCCCTCCTCCTGCAATCACATCAGATCACCAATCATTGGAAACAGGTGGCAGCCATTACCCCCTGCTTGTAGGAAGAGAGAGAGAGAAAGAGAGAACAATCGGGGAAAAAAACAAATACGTCCTTGGACGTAACAGCTGCATTTTCCATTGTTTACTTTGTCAATGAAACACTCTCAAGGTGTTTTGGAAGTCCAATTAGACAAACTCAAATAATCATGAGAAACAAATTGTCTCCATAATGTAAAGAGTTTCCAGCTTTCATTGGATGAATCATTGCTGTGGTAGGTGTTGCTTCAGAGTGATGCATGGCTTTCCTCTAGTCATTTGAATTTAGCTGCACCAAAGCATCACAGAGCTGTGTATAATAACGCTGCTCCAGGGTGGGTGACTCACTGTTTGTGTGAACTGATTAATTAGATTTTGTTCTGACACAGAGCAGGCGGGATTACGTTTGTGTGTTAGAAAAAGAGATCCCATCAGCTGTTCCCCCAGAATGTGTGAGTGTGCATGTGTGATCATATGCACTTGTTGTCGCAGGTCTCAGCAATAAGGATGACCCGCTGCCCCGTGACCAATGTGAAACCGTTTCCGGCCAGTTGATTGGCCAGTGCTGTGTTGCAACTGAAAACTGAAACTTTTGAATTCATTGATCTTGTATATCCATTGTTAAATCTTGCCAACTTAAAGGGGTCATAACATGGATTTTTTTTTACTTTAATATGTTCCTTGAGGTTTACTTGTTAAAGTTTTTTGCACAAAAATAGTTTGTAACACACGTGGTTTGAATATTTATTTTACCGTAGTAAAATTTAAATTCTGGCTTAAGTAAATTTTTTATCTCAGTTTTTATTATTCATTTAAAATTAGACAAATCTGCTATTATTTTAATCTCCAATCTGTTATTTATCAGTTCAGATAGTTTTTTAATGATTTGATTACTAGCAGAAGACACTAACCAGTTTTAAATTGCAGTTGCGTAGATGGGGCATGTTGTAACACTGCGTTACAATGTGCTATTCTATGACATTAGCGATGTAATTTACACTATTTACTTTAATTAATTTTTTATGGTTTTCCATAGGCTTAAGCTTTAAAGAGTTTCATCCAGGTCGCCAGTAGCAAACAATGGAGCGCGCTCTGCTGGACAAACTAAGTAATTAGACGATTTCAACCATTTTATCTGCATTATATGTTCTGTAAAAAAAAAAATTCATATCGGCGGCATATTGGCCGATACCGATATTTCGGCGATAGGCTCATATCGGCCAATAATATCGGCAAAACGATATATCGGTCGGGCTTTAGTTATTACATTAAATGCTTTTTTTTATTGATGATGAGGACATTTTAAGTTGTGCAACATACAAAGACCTCATTTATATAAAAAGATCAAGGGAAATTTGGTTTCTCATGTCATGACCCCTTTAAATGTTTGGTTTTCTGCTGGATAGTCTTGAAAGCCTCTAAGAATATGTTGAGAGTTTAGTTAAAGGTGCAATAGGTGATTGTCTTCAGAAACATTTTTTGTTATGCTGGTTGAAAGTCTCTTCACATCCCGAATGCAATCATCAAGTTAAGTGGTCTAAATTAGTGATGCATGATCATGATTTTTCATGGCCGATTTTTTTTTTTTTACAAGCAAACTGGCCGATTCCGATATCCAATTTTTTTTATTTTTATCAAGCAACAAACAAGAAAGAATAAAAGTACACATAAACAAGATGTTTATTTGGTATTTAACAGGCTAAACTGGGTTTTGGCTATTGAAAACAACTGTAACCATCTGAAATGAACAGCAGTAACTGCGCAGTAAGTAGGCTACATTCAATACAAACATAGGTAGGCCTACTGACAAAAGCATTTAGCTTTTGATTTTAAATTGGGTTGAAACTATAAACTGGACTTAAATGAAAACATTAACTGTAACCATGTAATTTTAAAGGCAACAACTGCATAGTTCCACAATCCAAACACATTCAACACTCCAAACAAAGATGTTACTTAATCAGCATT